TGCTCTAATTTATAGTTACCGTTCTGTTGTTACTGTATTTTAATTTGACAAACCAGATCTTCTCGCCATTCTTTCTCCTGTTTGGTGCGATTGCAATAGCGGATCTTAACATGGCCGGACCGGAGCAAAGTCTGAACATTTTGAGTATATTTGGCTCAACCTACTGCTGTGAAGCACGATCTTCCACCATGAACAGAATCAAAAATAAATATGGATCCAGGCTCAAAATGAGCACCTTGATATGTGATTGAGAATGGCTTTGTCGCCATTCAAATCCAGGTTTAAAGCCTTGCAGGGCAGCTAAAAGCCTCCTGCTCTCATTAAGCCATAAAAAAACAAAACAAACAAACAAAAAACAGTCAGTTCAGGCGTTTAAAAAAATATGTGAATCAGGAAACTATCCATATACCAAACTGAAAGATTGTTTCCATTTTAAAATCTAAAGTGTTCAAAAAACACTTTAGATTTTAAAATGGAAAAATCTTATATTTTTTAAAATAATTTTTATTTAAAAATTCAACATATAATTTTATCTCATTTCATTTTCTGTTTTAACAGATCATTAAAAATGTCTCCGGACCTTTACTGGTTGATGATTTTCTTTATTCGGACCCTGCTGATTTTTAATTGGTTACCCCTGATCTACAGTAGCCTTTAAGACTGGTTTTGACAGCCACATCAGAGTTAAGTAGGCACCTACCTGCACCACCAGCCGTGGAAGGCCACATGTCAGCATGCCTGAGCTGAAGTACCAGGTCTGCGTAGTGCTGCGGCGAGAGTCAGGCCTCCTCAGCATCAGTGGTTCAAAACTGTCAGGAAACAGATCAGAGTGAGGCATACCTCAAAAAATTGCTAAGATTATGGTGTTTTTTTTTAATAGGCTGTAAAACACTCATCTGAGAGATGATGTGTATTATCACAGTAGCCAACGGTGTCATACTTGCCAACTACCATGATTTACGTGGGAGATTCCCAATTTATGTTATCTCCGAACAAGTTACCAATCAGTAATTTCTCCTACTAATCTCCGGATTTTCAAAGAATGAAAAAAGTAAGCTTGTGGGGACATATAAATATGCGTAACGGACATGTCCCTTACACATTCTCTGTCCGCTGCACTTTTTTCAGGCGTTACAACAGTTAAACCCGTTATTAATATGCAGGAACCTCTTTTTCCGAGCTGTACAGGCAGCTGTTGTTTTGAAGGGATTTATAAACAAAGCTGAGTTAGGTTGAGTCTTTGAATGCACCATGAGCATACACATGCTGGCGCAAAAGTTCAACATGAAACGTGATGCTTAGCAGTTTAGAAAGTGAGCATCAAAATGTTTGGCAAAAACCAGCAGCTAGAAGCAAAACAACTTGGCAGTTTTTCCAAAACCTGTAAGTCTTTATTAAGTAAGTTATACTTAATTGTTACATTAAAAATGTAAAACATGCAAATATATCAATATGTTTAAGCCAGTTAACAATTATTTAAAAAGGTGCTACCTCTGTAACATTAGTTGCTGGTAAGTTTTTTCTTGGAATAAACCCAATGTTCATGCATTTCTCAATAGACTTGGTGCTCATAATTGATCTCCACATAGTAAAAATTAGTCTCAGGAGAGGAGAGTCAGGAAAGAGGTAAAAAAGGAACTTTAAATGTAAACGTCACAGTGCTATGTTACTGCTTTGCTTCCTAATTTTAATTCCAAAATTTTGAGTTCCACATTTTTTTTATTTTTATTGCCATTAAATAAAGAGCAGAGCCAGGCAGGTTGGACCAGAGGCCAGCAGCAGCAATGATGTAAGGTCTTAGGAATATCTATTACAGGGATAAATCAGGCAGGTATTAGGAAAAGGTTTTCACAGATATTTCACAGGAGAAATGAAACAAAACGCAAAAAAACTGATAAATACTCAGAAACATTTGAGCTGAATGAATACAAGATGGTATCATACCTTTCTGAATATTCAAAAATGGCTTTAAATATTTGGGTATTAATTTTACAAGAGACATTCAGCAACTATAACAGGGAAATCTGCTATTTAAAAAAAAAAAAAAACTAAATCAGATCTAAAAATATGTAATATATTAAGAAATACTAACCAGCACTGTACAGAAGTTATTGAGCTTTTGTATCTGTCAATGTAAATATATATATATATATATATATATTGAGAAAAATAAAATACCAGGCAAGAAATGAGAAATTGGGAGGAAAAAAATCTCCCTATTTTTCGTAACCAGGTGGCAAGTATGCACGATGCGTAGCTTGTACCTGTTGTCACTGACAGCTGCTAGCCCGGCTATGTCCAGCACCAAGGAGGTGTCGAGCGGTCGAGGCTGTGCCGGTTTGCTCTGGGGTGGAGAGGAGCCTTCATGGCAAAGCATGCCGGCCCCAGTCATCCTCCAAAGCTGGGAGCGCTTCCCTGGCTCCTGGAAAACAGACAGCAAGATATTAGTCACATGCGAGACACCTGTCTCTTTCCCATCTCTCGTATCTGGAATCCATCTTATCAAATTATTTATTACCAAAATTAAAAGGAAAATAATTTCCACATTATATTATTTTGATCAAACAGTCTGTAAACACATTTTTCACGTACAAATTCCACATTGTTGCTAAATTGGATACTTTTCAGCTTCTAATGTCTAAACAATATTTATTTCATGGTAACGCTGGAAAGCGTCTCGCATGTCTCGAGGCCTGGAAAAATACTTTAACCAAATTTCAGCCTTTCCCAGAAGGCGGAGGGCCAAAAATCTTATAAAAAAAAAATAGTTTTTGTCGTGCCTTTTTTCTCAGGATGACCCTTTGAGTCTTGGGATTGACGTCTAGAACCAGCTCAGCGCAGCTCTCCAGATGCCGCTTCCCAGCAGGCCTCCTCTCCGCATTCCTGCTCATACAGAAAAGAAATCTGTGAACTTTGGGTTTGACAGCGTTGCATCACAAGGTGGCCGACTGCTCGTACTGAGAGAAGGTGTGTGTGGCTGCGATGTAGATGAAGTTCTCGTAGTAGAGCTTGTTGTATTCCCTGAAGAAGTTCATGTCTGCCGTGACTTCGGAGGATCCCGCTCCTTTCACGGTGAGGCTGATGTACGGGGGCAGTGTGGGCTCATCGCAGGCATAGTCCAGAACTGACCCAGCCTTCACCTCGGTGTGCAGCCGCATGTCAGCCACACCGTGCTGCCAGAATTGGATTGGAACCTGAAGGTATTAAACAAAAGCACATGATTATGTCTCGGATTAGAAGCTAACCATGGATTACTGCCAAGATTTCACCCTGATAACGGTTAAATCATGGCTTTTTTATGAGCAGAAGGTTTATAGACAGGAAAGAAGCAGAGAAGCTGGAGCCTGCAGGGCAGATCAGAAGCTCCCGCTGCGGCGTCGTACCTCTGACATATTGTCGATGCGGAGAGGTGGAGGCAGCTGATCCGTGTCTGTGAAGGAAATTTGGTAGGTGGCTTCTTTGAGGCTGATCTCTGTCCGCAGGAAGAAACATTTCCCCAGAGTGTCTCTGTTCAAAATAAGAAATCTTTAAAATAGCTGAACGTAAAGGAAAACAGAAAGCATTAAACTCTTAAAGGGAGCAAAAAGCTTTTTTTAAACAAATTTATGTTCCAGGAAAACTGTTTATCTGTGCATGGTATGCTGTGTTTGATATAAAACATGATTTTAAGAATCCAAACTGTATTAGCTTCTGTCACCTCATGTTGACGTGGAAAGACTTCGGTTTGTTGACCTCGAAGCCTCCGGACCAGGTGCAGTTGGGGACGTCCATGAGACGCACACACAACAGCTGGTCGTAGTCGTTTCTGGGCCAGTGGAAGACGACGCTGGATCCAGGCAGGGTAGATAAGTAGCCCTCTGGATTTGAGGCACCCTATAATACAATAAGCTGTTAAAATATGCTTCTCTTTAGAGACACATTTCAATCTGCGACCAGCTCCCCCATCCTGAGCATCCTCTACCTAAGCAACCCACTGCAGATGCTTATGAATAGAATGAATAGAGAGATTTTAACAAAACCAATAAGCTGTCTTAACTAACAGATATTAAAGCAATGTTATAGAAATTATAAAATCAACTTGGTTCCTTTTATAGAGCTATATTTACACGACTCAGTTACTCTCAAAAACTATTATCGAACTGCCTCTCACCATTCCTCTTGCAAACTCTCTCTGAGCGAAGGCCAGTTTATGACTGGAGTGGTTGTCCAGCAGGTACCGTGGGGCAAAGGTCACTATGTGAGTGTCTCTGTAGTTTCCTTTTCCTTTACGCACGCTGATTCCTGCAGGAATGATTAGATTAAAGTCACTCAAAAGGCATAGCTGAGAAAGAAAGCTGCTGCATCACAAACATCACAAATTAATAATCGCCATGGCCTGATAATGACAAGAAGTCCTCCCTAAAGTCTAATAGTAGGAAAAAGATTGAAAGTTGATTAAAACTTGCCCCATATTGCCAGGTTTAAGGAACAATGGGGGAAAATCTAATGGAGTGAAGAAAGCAGGGTCATTTTTTTGAGCCTAGAGCCTCCAGACTTTGTCAGATGATGACCAAACACGGATTTCAGGAATCATGGATCAGTCTGACTTACATCAAACACATCATGTTGCTTTAACCTTATGAGGAAATTATCGGAAATTAGTCATTTATGAAGCCAAAGCCTTCCAAAGGCCAGCATCCTGGTATTAAACCAAAAGAGAAACAGATGGTGTGGCCAGCCCAAAATTACCTAAATGAGTCGCAGGAAAACTGTTTTTCTGTTTCATCCGTAAATGTTAATAGGCCAATATTCATTTCCACCTTTTCTGTAGATTCGAAACAAATTTCCTTCTTTTTTATGTTGAATGTGGCGAGAATTGAAATACAGGCTTTAAAAAAAAATGTTGCGTTTCTAAACTCATATGTTTAACTTTCAAACTTCGCTTCCATTCTTTACGAATCTTAAAACAGAGCGTCTTGCCTATGTTGTAGATGAGTCCCGGCTTATTTCCGTGCTGGATGACTTTCACCGCTCTGACTCCACTGCCTCCGTCCAGGGAGAAGCCTTGACACCAGCCTGGAACTCCATCTGGGTGGATCCCCTTTCCAATTCTCATCGTGCACCTGAAATTAGCATCCACAGAGGAAACAATATAACAGGGTTTACTAGAAACAAAGGCTGGGTAGAGGTCAGCATGCTTACATGGCTGGCTGCTCCTTGTCTGTGTAACAGAACAGTATGGGGCTGAGGCTCCGGGCCAGCTCATGCTCCTCGAACTGTCCCGCTGCATCGGTTTTACTGTTGTCCTGACGGAAAATTAATGGCAGACCTGAGGAACGAAAGAGGTTTAGGAAGAGGTTTGATGCAATCAGCAGTCTAAAGCCGTAATATAAAGATTACCTGTCTTGTTGATAAGCCAGTAGGGAGCAGAGATCAGGATCTTCAGAGCTCCTTGGGCTCTCAGGATGATACGGATGGTCAGACACAGCAGCCGTTTGTTGGTGTCATACAGTCTCATGCGCACCACATAGTTCTGAGTGCCAGGCGGAATCAGCAGCTCTTTGCATTCGGGGAAGCTCTCCAGCAGGATGCCTGAAAGCACATCAGGGCTGCCGTGAGGACAGGGGTGGTTGAATGAGGTCAAGACCAATCAGAGAGTGTTGGCTCACCCAGCTCCATGTTCTGGGATGTGTCAGCAGAGTGAAGCACAGCTTCCTTCCCCGGCTTCAGCGAGCCTCTGATGCCCATTCCTTTAATGTAAAAGTTGAGGTCACAGGGCAGCAGGTTGGTCAGCACCATGGTGGGCAGCAGGTAGATGGTATGTCCCGGCTGCCGATAGATCTGCTGAGCGCTGCCAGAAACCTGTCGCCTTGCAGGCTGCTGCTCCGGAAAGTTCTCCTTTTTGATGACCACACAGAATCTGCGCAAATCAAGATCAGAAAAGTAAGTAACCACAAATGGTTCCATGTAAGCGACTGCAAGCGGGAAAACTATGATTGTACTGTACCTGAAATTGCGTTTGGCTGAATCATCAAAGTCTGCTGACTGGCAGTCCCTCTTACTGCTGTTGACCTCACCCGGTCGCTCCACGCTGGTCCAGTGGATCGGAGCCTTACAGAAGAACAGGCCCATGCCTTTGGGTCGAGCCTGCAGCCGCCATGTGGTCAGGTGGAGGGGGACGGCTAGGGACTGGCCGGGCAGGATGGGAGGCAACACCACCGGCTCTGTCAAAGCAGAGAAACAGTCATGTAGTGAAACAGGTTAAATGAAAGACAGAAATAAACAGACGTAAAATAATTGTTCACTGATATTATCTACAGTGGGCTGCAGCTGAGCAGGCATGTGGCATATTGAAGGAGTCTTACTGTCAGGCGCAGACGGACTGTCCAGTCGCACCTCCATCTGAACATCCATGCGATTTTTCACCATCAGAGCCGAGCGCACCGTGATGACCTTCCGGGCGCTGCCCTCCATGGTGATGGCAAAGACCACCCTGACAGGAGGGAGTGCAGAGAACTGGGTGGGGGCATAAGAGATTCCATTCAATTTATCTATATAGTTATATGTATGTATACTCATTGACTCGACAGCATCCCTGACACATAATGAACACCAACATAATTGATGGGGATTCAATCAGCTGATAGGGGAACAAATCCACGATGTCTTCCTTTCTTAAACCCAAACATGGTTCATGGCAGGTTTTATAGCTGCATGCCCTTTTAGACTCAAACCTAATATATTTTCTTGAGTTTTCAGAAAATTCTTTCACTACAAAAATGCACCTTGATGGGTTTTGTAGTTTATAAATTCTCGAAAACAAGAAATAACATGATACTCCAGTTTAACATTCATCAGCAGAGTAAAACGTGTTGAAGCTTTGTAATATTTTCAGACCCATCTCCAAAACCATTCCTCTATATTTCCTGCCATAAACTCCCAAAACCAAAATTATCTGCACGTTGAAAAATTATTCAAGTTTTATTTTCCTAAATCAAATTTAAAGGATCGTGATTTAAATTTTTTTTTGTAAAAAACGATATTTGAAAAAAAAACAACATTATTTTTAAAAAAAGACTGAAATAAAGTGTAAAAGTCTGATAACTTAAACAACCCTTTGAATTGTTATGAAAGTAAAAGCTTAAAAATGGATAAGAGCTTATTTTATTGCTTTCTAGACAAAAAAGAAAAAGGTATCAAAAACAGTCGGTACTGTCCTCTATGTTTTAAATTAAGTTTGGAAAATGTATTATTAGAGATATATAAAAAGGATATTTGAGATTTATTAACCAATGTAATATTTTTCATATAGATTTGATACATTTAAAGACATTAGCTAAATTTAATCCAAAAAGGTTCTGATTATAATTTCTTCTGTAGAGACGCTTGGTGATCTAAAGGTATTTGATCTGATTTAGCAGATATCATACATCCAGTCCTTTTCCCAAGGATGTTTTTGTGTCAGGGTACATACATAAACATGAGGGTGGATGATGTTGGTCCTGCTGACTGGGCTGCCAACCTGTGAGACAGAGGAAGAACACAGGGGGTAATAAAAAATAACCAACATGGCCAAATGACCAACATGGCCGAAGGTCCCAGAGATGCAATTCTTTCTCACAGTGTTTGACGAATTATTTCGGTCTGGAGCAGCATATCTGAAGAAGACTCCCACTTTGTCCACAGACACGGGCTTGACTTGTTCCCAGCCACAAACCCGAACCAGCAGCTGGTGGAGCTTCAGCTCATGAGTGTGTCTGCAGGAGAGGGGGACGCAAGGTCAGAGATGCAAACGCTAAGTACAACAGAGCGCAAAAACTTTTAATGACTGCCATTAAATATACTTATGTGGTAATATCTGATATTTATGTAGAGAGTTTAATGGGAAGAAGTATTCATTTGTCTTTAGGACAGACCCAACATGGACATGAACTGCCTTGTCTATTGCTGGAAAAGTAAGGCTGGTACAGTCGAAACGTCACTTTAATCCTTTAAATCCATGAGCTCTAATGAACAGGTGCTGTGGGTCAGGGACAGAGTGACGTACCGATGGCGAAGCTTCTCACGGGCCTCAAACTCAAAGGGGATCTCCTCCCCGGGCAGCACCTCTCTCCACTGGCTGATGTTATGAGTATCATCCGTTCCTGAGCTTTGGATATCAGCGATGGAGTCCGCGCTGCTGCTGTGTGACAGCGCCACCCTATGGTGATTGAATGCAGAATCACTTCATCACTGAATGGATGGAAGCTTAAAACCAAAAGGACTCACACCCCTGCAAAGTTATCTTTCAAAAATATTTCTTGTTTATTTCATTTTACTTCAGATCCTTGCATGTTTCCATTTGATGGTTTATCTTTGATAATAATTGAGTCTTAAAGGTTGGAGAGTCTCTTTGCAATTACCCTAATGTTTAGCTCCTTCCCTGGTTTCAGTAGCAGATTCAAGTCAGGACATAAAACCACATAAAATTCATCCACTCTGAATACATATGTTGGCATAAATTTGGAAATCAATTATTTAGTAAGGGTTATAAATAATTCAGGTTTTGGACAGACACACATGGATGGACAACAGGATGAAGGCTGCAGTTAGACCTACCTTGTGGGAGTTGTGGTCAAAGTCGCAAACCACATGGTGCACCCTGTGTGGTTGCACAGGGCATATGGGACAAATGGTTGCCTCCTTTTGGAAATCTTCACATCTTTAGAAGAAAATAGAAAGTTTAGTTAGAAGGGACGCTTTCGGTGCCCTTTAATATGTGCTGTTTGGTTTCTGCCCTCAACTGCTTTGCCTGCCCAATAATCAAATAATACCAAATTCATCTATTCTCTTTTTACTTACAGAATGTAAAAAGGAGAGGCACCAAAGTTAATTAGATATAATAACTGTTATTACCAAAAAATATCAATAGAGGCCAAAGAACTATGATACTGAGTGAATGTGCTTATCAAGTCCAAATCATTTGAAGTGAACTGGATCATACAAATAACTTTGGGTTACGCAAAGCCCCCCACTCTTTAAAACCCCTCCCCAGGCTCCCCATTCCACTCTGGACTGAATGCAAGCTTTCCTAATTTGTCTATCAACGCTCTGCACCACCTTTTAAAACCTGCTCACTGCTCAGACATCAGCTCTAATGAACCTCGTATGTATGATACCACCCCCCCAACCCCTGAAATAGTTTTTAAGAAAGTTGCAAGAAACTTTCCTTTTAAAAAGTTTTGAGAGAGTATTTGTGAAGATTCTCAGTCATCCAGGTCACAGTCAACAGGCGATAGAGAAGGTAGTCACCTGATTAAAAAGCACTTTTAAGAACAATACCCAGAAGATTCACCTCTGACCCGCCCTCGCCTTAAGGCTGATTTATACTTCGAAACCAGGTCGTCTGCGTAGGTGTCGCAGTGAACGCAAAGACGTCCCCGCCCCCTCCGCAGAGACTCATTGGCCAATCCAGTGGGAGGGATCAGAGCCACATTTTGTCACCCCTATTTCTTTTTTAGACCTACAATATTTTAATCTCAGTGCTCCTCACCTACAGTATACTCTTGGATGAGAGGCACATCCAGTTGCCTAAACTGAACTTAAAAAAAAATGAAAAAAAATTGAGGGTTTAAGATTACAACTGCCTTTAGTTGTATGTCTATTTTCCAATTGTTGTGTGTTTTAACCCATTAGAATAAAAAGGTAGGTATAGAGCTCAGTGATATTGGAAAGGAGTGAGCTAGTATTAAACCACAGAGGAGGAGCTATGTGACATAGGGCAACTTGGCTGCAGAGGGGGGCAGCCTCCAATGTGAAACAAAGTTAAAACTCAAGACTATTTACTGTGTGAAAGCTTAGAATTTTGAAAAGTTTCGCCTTCTTTTATTAAATGTCAACATAACCATACTGCGCACTCTGGTTACCTGACATAAAAAGAGGCAGGAAAGATCATCTATTTATTTCCACTTTAATAGCTCAGTATAAAAAACAGTTTTTAATCAATCTTAGGTAGGTGGGAGCATTAGGGGTTTAGATTGTGAAAACTGTGGAATGTAAAACTTAAAAGTAAATAAAGAATCTTAAATCCCTTCCTGCAGAACAAGTGGCTTCTGTCTGCTGAACTCTAAAGCTGCTCTGCTCAAGGTGAGTGTGCAGTGCTCAGGTCTGAGCAGTACCTCTGGAGTGTATCTGCTGCTCGAGGTACGTCAAGCTGGCTGTGCTCCTAGTTCTAAGGTGAGCAAGAGGTGCACCTGACAGCAAAGAAAGACAGTTACAAGCACACAGACAAAGAGAGAGGCAGAAGAAACACACAGAAGGCTTAGAGTTTTACTATGGAGTGACTTTTGTTCCATTATTGTTGCAAGCATAGAGCACATTTTGTAAATGGAAATAAAAAAAAATTGTAAATTGAAAAAAACAAAAACAAAACAACAAAAAAAGTGCAATCCAAAATAGAAACTAAAAAAAGTGTTTTTGTTTTTTTTAATATTTTGTATTTTATGGCTGATATCTTTTCTATTTTTATCCCCCCCATTTTCAATTCATGTTCAATTTACTTTCCAAAATTTTTTTGAAAGTATCCTTTGCAAGCAAAAATAATGGAACAAAATTCAATCCATACTTCAGAAGTACTTAGCTGTATTCCTTTATAACCTTAAAGCAACACTTTATAACTTTTAGTAACCAAGGCCGCTGGCAACAACTCACTGTTGCAGAATTTAACAGTCTTTGAAACAGCAGATTAAGAGGTCATGGAGTTACTTTTAAGGAC